TGATATGACTCCCCATGGCTACAGGGATTCCTACAGGCACAGTCTGTGGGCATCAGAATTGGAGTTCAAGTTCACTGATTTCTATGATATGAAATAAGCACTAACATTTCCAAACAGCAATTTTACTCTGTGACAGAATGAGAAAAATAGTGTCTACCTTGTTGGCCTATTTCAAAGATAAAATGAGTTTTGTGTGATCAGTTAGTAAGAGTATTAGGCCACTGAGATAACCCTCATAGAGGAAACACACCCTCTATTCTAAAGTTAAGTACATATTAAAAAACATTTGCTTTACTGGCATTAAAATACCATTTACTAGTAATATCTACTGCCTTGCTTCTTGCTTCTTATGTTAACACAGTCTGCAAAATTAAGAAAATGATTCACAAAATGAATTTCCAGATGTCACCAAAAGACTTGCTATTACATGATCCATTCCTGGCAAAACAGGTTTGGGTTTTTGAATTTAAGCATTAAGAGAATATTTATTTCATTCTTATTATTACAACTCTCTCTAATCAGTTAAACTATGAACTCCCCAAGGGAAGTCAGTTGTCTCCATTCACCTCAGAGCTAAGAACTCAGGGCTTTCTTAAGTCTGTGGCTCAGACTAGGGTAAAGATAAGTTGGCCATGTACCCAGAACACCGTGACCTTTGAATCTACTGGATTTCCCTTCACTTACTAAATGAAAGAAATGTCCAAACTCAAAGCATAGCTCCCACCTCCAAAGAATTTATTTACATGTAATCTCTCAGTGCAAGTATAAGGCACAAAAAGTACATAATGTTTTGAACAGTAATCTGGAATGCAATCTTTTAATTGAAGACTGCATTACAACAACGTATGTTTCAGGAGTACAATATTGAAAATCAACATGTGTATGTATACACTACATTGAGTTCATCACTGAAAGGTAAAATTTTTTTTAAGTGACACACTCCCATCAAACCAGCAGAGCAGAGACAATGACTGCAACCTCAGGACCCAGCTATCTGCTCTCAGTTCCCCGGCGCTGTCTGCCCACTTGAGGTTTGTCCTCACCGTGTCCCTACTCAGTTTCTGTGCTTTGGCTCACCCACCTGGTCTTCCCATACTCCCATGGTAAAGATTTTGTGATCAAAAACCACCGCCTTCAAGTTAGCAAGTTAAAGGGAAAACAGATTCACTTTCCTCTTCTGTCCAAAGCTTGCCTTCACTCCCTGCCCAGCATGAACTCTCAGGTCTCAAGAAGCTATAAAATGTCCATGCCTCTATTTAAGATAATAGCAGTAATAAACTTCCAGGAAGGTGAAAGCTGCAACAGAATCCCTTTCCAATTAACCAGAGCAGAAAAAGGGTAATAAACCTTCCCAGGGAAGCCCTTATCTTGCGCCCACACAAGGCCAGAGCTTGTCCCTCTTTACCCGGAAGCAAATTTCTTCTCACTGGTCTCCTCACAGTGGCCATTTCCTTCTTTCTTCTATTTGGGTTCTGCCTTTCCTGGTGACAAGGTGGAAAAACTCTAGTGGAGTATGATATCAAATTTACAAGAGATTCCAGGGTTGAATGCTTCCATTCATTAATACCTGGGAAATACATTTTGAGAAATGAAACTTCTAAAGTCTTAAAAATTATCCAAATTCCCATTCTATAATCCTCTCATTTATATTTCCACCCTGGCATCTAAAAATTCTTCAGACTTCAAGCATGCAGAATATAAACCATGTAGACACATAAACTATGCTTGAAACATGAGCTGTCTTCAGTTACCTGAGCTGCCAGCAGACACTGGGTCACTCTGACAGACTATTTCATAAAGGAAGACACTTAAAAGACACCACGGTGCCATACTACCAAGGGGCGGTGGGAGGGAGGGTCTTAAAAGATCAGTCCCTGTAGAAGCACGAACCAACCACGGGGACAGACAATATTGTGTAAGCAACCTCAGTATTTCACAAGGTCACAGCAACAGCAGTCAGGGCAAGCATGAAAGCAAATTAAGAATACATTCCAGAATATATAGTAGGTGAGCCGGAGCCACAGAGAACTCTCAGGCCTATCTTCAGAGAAATAACCAGCCCCACTATTTAAAAGGTAGACTACATGTGGCCAGCGTCATGCTCTTCGTCCCTGCCTCCAGGAGAGGGGAATAACATCCCGGTGGCTGGCCGTGTGGCCAGCCGTGCTTCACTGATGGGCCATCTTAAGTTTTCCTGAATGACATCTATTCCCAAAGAACAATAAGCAACAAGAGAGTGATAATATTAGAAGCCCAAAATGAGTGGCTTGTTTTCCATACTGCTTGATGATTTCATTAAGCATGAAAAGAAAACATGAATGCTATAGTTGGCTCTAGTCGATGACCTTACCATGCTGAGCTAGCTCTAACATGACACAGAGAAGTAACCCCGAGCAATTTCCTATTGTGTGCTGCTTTTCTGCAAAAAGAAAGAGTTAAAATATGGGGTAAGAAGCAAGACCATGTTCGCATTCACTGTGCCAGGCACTTATAAGTTGCCACTCTGGTGTCTGTGGAGTGAACTCTATAGTCTCGTCTAGCCATAAAATGTTCTTAGCTCTAGGATAATATAGCTAGGATTCAAAATATAGTAAACTGGTCATTGAAAAAAAAACCCTTCTTTTCTGAGAATACACTCACATACACATATATATGTACATACTTACACATATGTATCTCAGAGCTATGTGTATATACACCTATGTATCTTCTCAAATGGATATTAATATATATAAATGAGAACAGGTATATGGTGTCTGCATGTACATGGTGTCTGCATATATCTATTTTTAAGCTAAGTGAGACACCTGGCTAAAAAATTCAAAGTATTATGATTACTAAAATGAGAATATAGAAAATATTTTTAAATAGTAGTATATAACTGTTTCAGACAATTTTAATAACATTTTTTAAAAGGATGGAGCAGAAAGCAATTGCTATACTTACTGTTCATCACAAAAAAATTAACTATGTTATCTCCTATACCAAGCAAAACATGTCAAATGCCACAAGTGACCTGATTTATGTCTTCTGAGAAATGCATAAGACATTTCAAGCATAAATAATTACATTATTAATTTCTAGAATGTATAATTTAAAAGAGTTGTCAGACCCAAGGTCTTGAATTTTTCAAAATAAAAAAATCCTGGGGCCTCCCTGATTGTGCAAGGGGTTAAGACACAACAGTATGAAGCTATCCACAGCCGCTACAGCACAAGTTCAATTCCCCAGCCAGCCAAGGAGGTGACCCACATGGCACAGCAGACCTCTCCTGACTGGCCCCCTGCTCCCCTCATCAGTGTATTTCAGGCAATCTGCCTGTTCTGTTCCCCACTCTGTCTCTAGTGAATCCTGTCAATTCCCGCACCTCTGGCCTGTACCCCAGTTTTTGTATGCATAAATAAACTTTTAAAAATATATAAAAAATAAAATAAAAATATCCTACCTTGGGGAAAAAAAGAGCTTTATAGACTGGGGGGGGGGGATTGGAGGAGGGAAACTAGTTTGGCATAGAATAGAATAGTTTGGCTTAAGCAATAAACTATCCTCCCTCCCAACCCCTACAGGAATGCAACACAAAGAAGTCTGCATCCTCAGTATATAGCCAGACCTCCTCAGTTAGTATTTGGATTCTTGCCTTTATTAATGGATTTCTCAAAGATGCATCCAATTTCCTGGGTATTTTGGCAGCAATAATATAAATAGGCCAACAAAAAAGTTTCCAGAGAGATGTCAGTCATGAAAACTCTTGGAGACATAAAAATGAGGAGCAGTAAACATCTAAAAACCACAATTCAAACTCTTCAGATGGACAGCAGGACAGACTGCGGGATATCAGAGAGTATCAACTTCCTTTTAAAGTCTCCTGGGGTGGCAGGTGGAATACCATAGACTTCAACCCCTTGAGCAGAGGAATTTTACGCAGGCTAAAGTGCTTGCTTTGGAAGCTTCTGGCATAAAAGGTGGGGGTGACAAAAAACAAAAAAAAAAGAACCAATTCTGCAGCGACTACATCTGGGAAAAAAACCCTCAACAAATTAACACTTGAGTATTAAAAATGTCTTTTAACCACAAATCCCACATTTGAGTTTGGGCTTCCCAAGAAATGGCATGTCAGTTTCTAAACTAATGGAGAAATGATGTAGTACCTAAATTATACTTTCAGTTGTTTGGTTTTAAAATTTCTATTGAAAAAAATAAATCTTCCAATGACTCATCTCAGCTTAAAAAAAAGGACGGACGGAAGACTGAGCCGCAACATTGGCGCACGGCTTTGTAGAAAATACTTAAGTTATTAAACAGGTACAGCTAGCAGAACTAGAAAATCATGGTCTAGCATAAGTTGAGTGTTTAAGAAGGTTTGCAGTCCTGGAGTCAAATGACTTTCAGCGGAGGCGACACATTTGTAATCCACAGATTCAGCTGTCTGTTACCAGAAGAAACTAGACAAAAGGTTATTTCCCTTAAGGTTCGGGGAGGCTTCAACTTGGGGAACTGACATCTGGGGAAGAACAGGGGACAGGGTCAGACTATTCTAAAGTTTGTGTTTCTGCAAGCGGTAAACACAACTCCGGGGAATAAACCCTAAGGTCAGTACTCCCCACCATCCCCGTTCCCCCCGTCCTGCATCACCCCAAATAAAAACACAGCTCCTACCGCACCGCCCTGTGGTCACGCAGGAGGCTGGGACTCGCTCCTGGCACACAAAGCGGATGCGGAGGGCCGAGGGCCACACACGTGGGAAGGGCCGCACCGCCGCCCACAGTTGGGGGTTCCACGCCTCCGCCTGAGGCGGGGACAGCTGGTGACGGTCACCTTCGGACAGGAAGATCCTTTGAGCCGGCCCCCCACTTGCGAAAGCGGCGCGGCCCTTCCCAGCCCGGGAGGCGCGCAGGGCCCGGCAGCCCGGGCGGCGCGGGGCACCTGAGGAGCGCGGCGGGGGCGGGGACCGGGACGGGACCGCGAGCCGCTCGGGGCGCACGGCCCTCCCGGGGACGCACCTGGATCTGCAGCGGCACGAGGCGCACCTTGCAGCGCTCGCTCACCGCGAAGCCCTTGGGCAGGTCCACGTACTGGCCCCACTCTTCGGCGAAGAGCTGCACCACGAATTTGCGGTGCATGTCGATCTGATCGCCGTACAGGCTGAGGAACTTCTGGATGAGCAGCTCGTAGCCCGCGCCGTGCGGCACGGACGAGGGCCGCGCGAACACGGAGAAGCAGAAGAGCACCGGGACCGTGCCCGACGGCGCCGCCGCGCCCGCGCCGCCGCTGCCGGGGAGCGCCGGGACCGCCGGCTCCGCCGCCGCCATGTTCGCCCGCGCGTCCGCTGCGCCCAGGCCGCCGAGCGCAGACACCGCCGGCCGCCGCGGCCCCGCCTCCCCGCCCGCCCGGCCGCGCCGAAAGGCGAAGGGGCGGGTCCTGGCTGGCGCGCCCTCCTCCCCGCCCCGGCGCGGGGAGGGCTCGGCGGTGGGGTCGGGGCGCGCGCGCGGGGGAGGGAGCGAGCGCCTGCGCCCGCCGCCCGGGCCGCCCCCTCCAACCTGCCGCCCCCCTGCGCCGCGCAGCCGCCCTGCCCCGCGCGCCCCTCGCCCGCCGCCCCTCAGACGGCCCTGGGCGCCGCGTCTGGGCTCCCTCAGCCGTCCTCGTGTGTGCGCTATGCGAGCACCCCCGTCGCCCCCGCTCTGCACCTTCAGACGAGCTGCGTTCTCCAAGAGACAGTTCCTTTAAAACTATGTTGCCTGAACCCATCAGGCCCAGAAAGGTATTTTCGCAGATATTACTCCATAGTAAGGTCTTCCATTTGCAGATGCAAATATGCTAGTAAGAGAAAGGCATTTCTTTAGGCTGATGGATTCCAAAAGGGTGCCTATTCTGGGTGGACTGATTATGAAAGTGTTTCTTTCTTGTGTCTGGGGATACAGGACTGGCCGGCCTCACGGGCTGTGGCGCGTTACCTGTTGGCCCGTGCGGAGGCGCGCAGTCCTGCTTGAAGATGGCAGCGGGGATCTTAAAAACAGTAGGACACACCGATACTCTAAGAAATGCCGCAGGATTTAAGGCCTCCGCAGGAAGGGCCTCCAAGGCTCAGAACTGCACGTTTTTTCACTTCCATAGAAACAGTGTCTCTAGTAGTGCATGTGAGACCTTCGCTTCCTTTTACGTCAGCCCAATTTCCAGTAAAACTTGGGATTGCAAATTCAAAGAGGCTTAAGAGTACAAATTAAAACAGGTTTCTGTTTTTAAGTGAGTAAAATCGATCAACAAACAAGCAAACTAAAGCAAAAAAACCCTCTGTGTTATGAACGCTGTGGGCTCTCTAACGAACTAGAATTACAAAAACATGCACTGTGAACCCAGTTTCCTTAATGTCAGGTCTTAAGAAGATCGGTTCAAAGGCCTACAGGTAAAGTTACATCTTAGACAATAGAGGTTTCCTCTTCTTAGAAAACTACTTTGAAGTCAGTTTCTAACCTGGCACTGTTGACATTTGACATTGATAAATAATTTTTCATGTCGGGGCTGGCTCTCTGGAGTATTTGTATTTGTAGTGTGTTTAGCAGCATCCTTGGTCTCTGCCCACTAGAGACCCCTAGGTAGCCTTAACACCCCACTACTCCCTAGTATTTTCAGATATTGTCAAATATCTCCCAGGGGGCAAATTTGTCTCCAGTTGAGAACCAATGCTTTAACATAATGCTAAAATCATCCTTTTGTCTTTACTGCCCACTTATTTAAAGCTACTGAAAGGAGTCTGTTAGCTAGCTTCTCATCAAACTTTTTTTAAAAAGATTTATTTATTTATATAAGAACCTGGGTGCAGGCCAGATGTACTGGAGGGTGAGAGGATTCACCAGAGACAAAGCAGGTAAAAGAATAGGCAGACTGACTGAAGCACACTGCTGAGGGGAGGAGTAGGCAAGACAGGAGAGGTCTGCCCTGCTGTGTGGTTATCTCCCTCGCCCACCAGGATCGAACCCCCACTGCAGAGGCTGTGGACAGCTTCACAGCACTGGCCTCAATCACCTGTACCACCAGGGAGGCCCTCATCAAACTTTGACAGTTCATTTAAAACTATGTTGTCTGAACCCATCAGGCCCAGAAAGATATTTTTGCAGATATTACTCCATAGCAAGGTCTTCCATTTGCAAATGCAAATGGAAGAAAGTAAGAGTAAGAGAAAGGCATTTCTTTAGGCTGATTGATTCCAAAAGGGTGCCTATTCTGGGTGGACTGATTATGAAAGTGTTTCTTTCACATTCCCAGCCCCCAGGAGTTTCTGGGACAGGGCAGATTGGAAATTAGAAACTTGTATGAAATACAGGCCCTTCAGTAAAGCAACTTTGCATCTGCACAGTGTTCCATGAAGGATAGTCCTGAGTCAACATACTTCATTCCACTGTCAGATTTTTTTTTAAAGATTTATTTATTTATATAAGAACCAGGGTACAGGTCAGAGGCGTGGGAGGAAGAGAGGATTCACCAAAGACAGAGCGGGGAGCAGAACAGTCAGACAGACCGAAGACACTGCTGAGGGGAGCAGCAGATGTGGGAGGAGAGGTCTGCCATGTCATGTGGGTTTATCCCTGTCAGACCAGGATCAAACTTGTGCTGCAGAGGCTGCAGACAGCTTCACAGTGCAGCGCTCAACCGCCTGCGCCACCAGAGAGGCCCAACACCAGTCTCTTTTGATCTCTCCTTATACTTACTTTATTATCAGGCCCCAAAGAACTTTCATTAGATTAGATGTGGGAAGTTATGGAAAGAAAATCCAGAATGACTAGTTTCTGTCCTTGAGTATTTGGTAATGTCATGGTGCCATCACTGAGATGAATAAGGACTAGGTGAGGATCATGTCATGGGTTAAAAGCAGAAGTTTTATTTTGGTCACACTGAGTTTAAGCTGTTTATTAGGGATCAAAAGTGAATGGTTAGTACATAACTGCAATCATGAATCTGGATCTCATAGTTGAGGAAGCTCATGATGTGACTATAAGAGATATCAGCCCAAAGAGGTATTTGGTTCAAACCATGGGAATTGATGAGATCACTTGGAGGGCTCTATCTTTGTCATAGGACCTATGACAAAAAGCTAAGGTTGAGAAAAGGAGGTGAAGTAGGAATGAGATTGAAAAGGAATAGATGTTTGGGCCTCCCTGGTGACGCAATGGGTTGAGACGCAACCGATGAAGCTTGCACAGCCTCGGCAACACAAGGTCGATCCCCGGCCTCCTGCCAGCCAGAGAGCAACCCACATGGCGCAGCAGACCTCTCCTGACTTGCCCGTTGCTCCCCTCAGCAGTATACTTTGGTCAATCTGACTGTTCTGCTCCCCACTCTGTCTCTGGTGAAATCTCTTACCCCCCCACACCTCTGGCCTGTACCCCAGCTCTTGTATGCTGAAATAAATAAATCTTAAAAAAAAAAAAAAAAAAGAATAGATGTTCAAATAGAGAAAAACCCTGGACACTGAAATCTTGGAATTTGAAGGAAAAAAAGTATTATTATGTTATTGACCCAAATGAAATGTGTTAATCATGCTAAGTATGCAATACCAGAAATTTCATTTGGTTCAACCTACTAGAAAGAAAAAAACAGCCATCTATGCCAAATGCTACAGATCACATTATACTGGTGAGAGTGACCAGAAGGAAAGGAAAGATTTATGGTGCACTAGTTGAGAGAGAACAATTGAAGGAGTACAGTCCTTGAAAAGAATGAACTCCAGAGCACAGAAGGGATTGGGGCTTCTTCTAGGATCAGGGACATTTGTTCTGTTGAGAATGAAAGGAAGAGGATAAGGTAAACATACAGTCAGGTTAATAACTCTGCAATAAGGGCCTCCCTGGTGGTGCAGGCAGTTGAGCACAGTGCTATAAAGCTGTCGCAGCCTCTGCAGTGCCAATTCAATCCCCGTCGGCCTCAGAGCAACCCACATGGTGCAGCAGACCTCTCCTATCTCGCCCACTGCTCCCCTCAGCAGTGTATTTCAGTCAGTCTGCCTGTTCTGTTCCCTGCTCTGTCTCTGGTGAATCCTCTCACCCTCCCGCGTATCTGGCCTGTACCCCGGCTCTTGCATAAATAAAAAAATAAATAAATAAATCTTTAAAAAAAATAACTCTGGAATAAGAAAATGAAAAGTTGTCTAATTATACACTTTTTGCTATGTATAACTTTGTATACTTAAATGTATATTATCCTTATTTGTTGGTATAATGTAGATATCTATTATTACATTAAAGGCAGTCATAATTTTGACATGGTTTGGATATTTCTAAGTCTGTCTTTTCTTATTTTCTTTTCAAGGAACATACTTTCAGAGTCACATTTCTATTTTAATACATTCACCTCACCATGGCCATCTTTTGATGATCAAAGCATATTTATAATTTGTCTTATTTTGTATATCAGAATTTCCATGTATCTCATCTGGAAGTTTCTGTCCCGCTTCACTTTTCAATAAAGGGGCACCTGAAGTGGAAAGAAAAAAGCAAAATTATAAACTATTGTCCAAACCCAGAACTCCCACTGTCTCCAAAATTTATCTTAAGAACTTGAAATCATGCAGCCGAAGACAGTTCAGCAACATCTTATTAGTCACAATTCACATGATTTCAGTTTTCCCAAGTTCAGTTATGGCTGGTTTGGAATCCTTAGTCACATTCTTGCTTCCCCCACTGCTCTGCTACAGGAGGCATATCATCAGTGGCAAATGCAGTTTTCAGATTTGCCGTTCTTTGATAAAAGTTAGGAGAGTTTTCACATCAGTATAAAATTTAGCAGCCATGTCTTCCCTCCTAACAAGTTGAATGAAGTGTCCTTGCTCTGAAGCCTCCCCTTAGCCTCTGAATTCCTCATCCCTCAGCAAATTCTATTCTGTGTATCCCTGTTCCTCTTCTATAAGAACAGTTTCTCCTGCCCTACTGGATGTTACTCATCAGACATAATTTTTTAAAGCAAAGAGATAATTAACTTGTTTCCCCCCTTTTCTCCTGCAAATATTAACCCATTTCTCTGCTCTCTGTAGGAAAACTTCTTGAAAAAAGTGACTTCATTTCTCTTTATATTTACTCATTAACTCATTCCAATAAGGCCTCTGGTTTCAGTCCACTAAAACTGCTCTTGTCAAAGTCACTATATTTATTAGTCAGGGTAACCTAGACCAACAGAACTAATGGAAGATATATATGTATATCTCAGTTTGTATGTATATACTTACATGTATGTATGCATATATACACACGTACACATAAAATATGGTTACAAATATATATATGGGGGAAGAGAGATAGAGAGAGAAACCAGGAAAGTCAAT